TTTGTAATATGCTAATTACATGTATATGTACAGGTTATTCCTTATATTATACTTGAAGAAACTGAATATAAACTAAGAGATACTATCAGTATCAAAGAGAAGGTATGTCATACTACCAGACTGTGTAATGCAATCTTAATTGTATGTATAGGAAAGAATTGAATTGAAACAAGAAATATCAATGGCTCAAATAACTGAGGTTGGAAATGTTTGCATTGATCATTAAAGTCCATTTATGTTCACCTGAGCCCTCGTTTTTTTGCAATAACTTTTGACTTGCAAGTTCTATTGTAGAAATAAACATACCAGTACATTCCTCTCCTTTTGCTGCATCTATTGTGATACTAAAGAAGCAGCTATAGCTCTTTAGCTGAATTAGCTCCAAGTTGGTTGTGTAACCCATGCAGAAAGTACAACCATACTTTTCACAATATTATTGCATTGTGTTAATTATTGGTTGGGGTCTGTAATCACTTCCTGGGCTCTTGTGAATGCAAATGGACTTTAGTTTGCATAAATGTAATTATATTTTGATTAATAGGTAGAATCATTGTCTGTTCAAAATGATACTGAATCAATTAAAGAAGTTGAGGTATATCTCACTATAGTTTGTATTAATTATTATAATTATTAATAGGAAGAGCCACTTTATGAAGAGTTGACTGTATTGAGGTCTCAGTTTAATGAGATACAAAAAGAAAACAAAAAATTGTCAGACAAATTATCAAAAATGAAGGTTGAATATTTGCGATCACTTACTAGTAATACTGATTCAGGTTAGAGTAGTTTTATTAATTATACTAATAATTTTATAATTAATTAAAGCTGCTAACAAATTGAGAAGAGGTCTGTTTTTTGAAATTGATGACTGCAAATTTCATCTTAAAGCAATGACAAGACCAGACTATCAACCATTAGTAGATAACAAAAGAATAATAGAGAAATTACGAGAAAGAATAACATTAATGAATATCGAACTAATTACTGAAAGAGAACACAATGAGAAGATTATAAAAGATATTAGAGGTTTTATTGATGATGTGTATCATCATTTGACTGTTGATATTTGATTAGATCATTTGAAAGAAATTGAGGAGAGAAGACAGAGAAAAAAGAAACAAGAAACTGAAGAAGATATACTTGAAGTAAGAGTGAGACTGTCAATATTATAGCGTTCATCTTCTTACTTTTATTTTCTATAGCTCTCATTATATTGTAATCATCCTGTTACTGGTGAATTAATGGAGTCAAAACTTAAAGTTCATAAAGATGAATTACTACCCAGTGTACTGGATAAAGCTTATGAGGTTTATTGATCTATTATGTATATCTGTTTATTCTTTCATTTTATTCATTTCTCCTTATCAGTTAATGGAATTAGCCCCTCATATTCCTATTGAGAGATGTCGTTTAGTTAAATATGATTATTTGAATAAAGTAATGGAACAGTCCTTTGATGAGGTAAGTGTTATCTATCCTATTGTTACAGTTATCTTATTATTAAATTTAGTTTCAACATCAAACTATTGGACAGATTGTAGGTAGGGCTGGAAATTATTGCTTATTCTTAGAAACTTGTAAAGAAAATGAAACCTTTAAGAAATATACTTATCGAGGTTGGTGTTGTTTGTTACCATGATAACCTCTGATTGTATGTACATGTGTTTGAT